TATTGCTATTCCATCCTTCCGAGGTGAGTAAAATGAGGACCCGGATTGTTGTTGGGGGCAATATGCTGACTCTGTAAACCGCTTAGAGAGGGCTTAAAGGCCTATGAAGCGGTATATAAGTCTACTGCTATTGCTACTATTGCTATTCCATCCTTCCGAGGTGAGTAAAATGAGGACCCGGATTGTTGTTGGGGGCAATATGCTGACTCTGTAAACCGCTTAGAGAGGGCTGAAAGCCCTATGAAGCGGTATATAAGTCTAGCTGCTATTGCTATTGCTACATTGGGAGGCATGCAGCACAATGCAATATAGGTTCAAAATATAGCCACATGCATTAAAAAGGCACCTGCGCGTGCACACAATTCAGTTTCCTTGAAAAAGGTGTTCCCTCGAAAATCTCCCTAATCTTCTGGCCATAGATTTGAGATTTCTAATCCCAACACATACACGTGAAGGGCAATACCTAACATCAACAAAGTTTGCCAGTGATCCCTTTTAACGCAAAAATAAAAATCCAACGTATATTTGAAAACGCTTAGGACAAAGAAGGCACTACTTTGTTTTTACAAATTCCTCTGGAGTAACTGCGGATGGTCAGTCTGGAAAATACTGTAAAAAGGAAGCAGCCTCTAGGAAATTGCACTGCCCCACCCCACCCCCAAGTTTTAGGAGTGTGCAGAGCATTTTTACTTTTCTAGCACCAGGCGAGAAACCAGGAGATTGGCAATTCTAGTCCTGCCTTAAGACATGAAAGCTGCCACATACCTCCCAACGGCCGATAAGATCTCAGAGGTTGGGCCTTCTCCGGGTGCCATCGACAATGCCAGCTGGCGACCCCTCGGGGAAGGGCCTTCTCTGTAGCTGCTCCGGCCCTCTGGAACGATCTACCCGCAGAGATCCGGACCCTCCCCACTCTCGGCCTTCCGAAAAGCCACTAAAACCTGGCTATTCTGGCAGGCCTGGGACTGTTGACCTCATGAACGAGGTCCAGCCCCACCTAGATTGAGTGTATGGTGTGTTGTTTTTAAATTTGTATTTCTTTTTCCCTATTTTTAACTTTTTATCTTTTTAGTCTTGTATTTTGTAAGCTGCCCGGAGTCCTACGGGATTGGGAGGCATATAAATTTATTAAATTACAAATTACAATTACAATGACTTGGGCCAGTCACTCTTTCTCATCTCAACCTAACTTACAGGATTGTATGAGGGAGGGAGGTAATAGGATGGATCGACTATTAGGTATTTTTGGCACCTTGAGTTAGAGACAAAGAGAGACCGAGAGGCAGAGGCAGAGACAGACAAGACAAAGAGAGAGTTGCAAAGACACAATTCATTTTCTAAACTCCAATCACCCTCATTTCCTAACACAGTGGAGGAGGAGGGGGACAAATACGGGATATCAGCACTGAAATCTGCCCTGCAAATTGAGCATTAAAAAGGGATCGAATTTACAACGATCTAGCAATTTATTGTATTAATATTAGTGACGCAGACACCATTTAATTCAATTATTCACAGGAATCAGGAGGAGCAGTTGTAAAAATCAAACCCTTTTGCTCCTGGTTGTTCTTCCAGCCTTGTCCCAGCTGGGCCACTTTTGCCAAGAACAAAAGAGAAAGAGATTGGTCTCGGAGAAGGTGAACCAAATTACGAAATGCCAGTGTCAATACAGACATTTACAGAGAACAAGCACTTCTAGCATCTGCACGCATCTTAAGCACAAATCCTTTGGTCACTATAGAAACAGAAAACAGAATTGCTATGGTCTAACAGGGTCTCCTTGACTATTGTGGAATTCACTTTTGCAATATAATTTTCTCTTGCTGGGTCAGATACAAATTTAATGACACAATCAGGGTGATGCCGTCAGTGTTCCAAGTATCATGTAGAATTAAATCAGAGTCCAAGGCAAAACGATCCTTAAAGTTCCAATTTAATAAGGCAGACATCTTAGGCACATCTGTATTAATCCCAATACTGGAAATAACATCAGAATCCCACCCAGTTAAAAGTTCATGATCTTGTCCCCACACCCACAAATCCATCACGTGGTCCAATCT